GTTATACACTTAAGTGGTGCTGCCATCTATTGGTACCAGTTTTGAGGGAGTTTATCGGGAATATTCCCACTGGGAATGCTCCCGACAAGGCATTTATTTTTATAAACTCCTTTTTTAATATCACTAATTACAACTGTATTGAGTCATGCATTCAATGCATTGCACGTAAGGAGAGTGACGTCCAGTCAATGCAACCAATGGTTTGACCCGCGAATCGATGTATCGATGAATCGATTGTTTCAATTGTGCTCTCATTTGAATGAAATGACAATCACTTCAAACACTGCAGTCTTTGCAGTCTTTTCTCAGATTCCAAGCGTTGAGCACTTGTGAGGACTCATCACTGGTTGTGCGGAGACGTCCATCCAATCCATCCATTCATCCAAACGCTCGTCAATTAGACTTTGTTTGCAATTGAGTCCCAAATTGAATGTCAATATTTGTGTGAATAATCAGTAATAAGAGGAAAGAGAGACATGTCTTGGGCCGCACTCTCAGTACAACCGATGCCATCACTCAACGCATCCCAGAGTCTAGCGATGAGTGAAGACAATCGGAAACAATGTAAGCCATTGCCCACCACTGGTCTTATGTGTCACGCATTTGATTGACTCGTCTTTTTGCAGGCGTTACGCAACTGTTGGAAGAGTTGGAGCGCTTCGTCGACGACGACAACTGCGACCACAAGAGTTGCAATCAATTGATCCAAAGTGTCTGCCATTGCATCAAATCGGAGGCCAATCGTCTGGAAGCGGACGAGTCGTTTGCCCAACAAATGGACGTCTATTTCAATCTTTTGCGGAATGTGTTGAGGAATAGTCAACTGAAGCCCATTTCACGCGCTCTTCTTCTGGAAGTGATTGAGTTGAGAGCCGCCAACTGGACAGACGTCGACCACATAGACAAGTATTACAGCAAAAAGTTGCCAGAATTGAGAGCCAATGACTTAATGGACACGAAAAGCATTTCCTCTTTCGATTCCAACGAGAGCTCCAAGTGTTCAGTGAAGGCGTCAAAAGTGGCCGCAAAGGTGTCTTTGAAACAAGAGGTGGTCATCAGAAATGGTGACTCAGGAAAAGGTAATTGTGTTGATATTTGGATATGATTTTTGATATGTTTTTATAATACATTACAAAGTGATGGGAATTAAAGGCAGAAGAGTTCATATGATAGAAGAGATGAGCCAAACAGTGATATCTTTTCAAAGAGGTTTGTTTCGCAAAATGCTTTCAGTGTTTCTCATCGATTGGCTTTCAGTTATGAATTGAATCATTGGTTTATATTAAAAGCAATTTTGCATTCAATTAACCTTTAATTAACGCACTATTGATTGAAATGTATTTTTGGCAAATAATTACAGACTATATTGTATTGAATAGCTTTAATTTATACTGTAATATATTGTTGTAATTAATGATTGATTAATGAATGTGTTTGAACCATACGTGCAGTGCCTCCCGGAGCTAAAGAGCGAATGGTTCAGATCATTGGTCCGACCGAAGAGAACATTGAACGCGCAAAACGTCTTATTGAAGACACTATCAGACGAAACACTTCTCCCGTGCCTTTCGATTCACACGACAAACCTATTAATGATTTGAATCTCAATGAGAAGACAGTCGTAAACAATGAAAAGATGGCCATTAATGCCAAAAGTGATGCCATAATTGATGATCAAATGGGATTCACTTTCACAGTCACAGTCGATAATGAAGTGCTTAAGTTGTCGACCAATAGCTATAGAGTTGGCATCAAAGCTAAGCAGTTGTTGGAAGAAAAGTTTGCCATCAAATATGATTCAGAGTCTCAGACATGTTGTGGAGATGAGCCTAAAGAAGTGAGTGACACCACAACTGATCCACAACTGTATGACAAGGAGTTGATGAGACAACAAAGACTCAAATTGGAGGCAATAAACTGGGAAACAATTGAACCGATATCTGAGTTGAAGGATACGCCATCCGTGGCAACGGTTCCCATTGGGAGAACTTCATTGCGATTCATGTCTAACCAGAAGTCTAAGTCAAAGGATGAGAAGATTACATACGATCGACAGTTTCTATTGAATTGCGCGGAATTGCCGTTAAGTAACGTATTGTCTGGAGAAGAGGTGATGAAACTGAAGGTCAAAATACCAGAGATTTTCCGCAATATAACAAACCATTAGATACTATACTATATAGTAATCTGATTTAGATCTCATCAAAACCCGTGCCTTATATTCAAAATTATTTTCAGTCAAATTTTAGTCAAATTCAATATTAATGTTTGTTTTACTCATTTGTTTAATTTATTACAAAACAAAATCTTTTAAATGCTTTAATGATATTAAATATCAAATAAAATAAATAAATTAAATACTTTGCGTTTTTATAGCTTTAAAAACTTATAAATTAATGTTAAATAATGTTTGGAAATAAGAGATCAATTGAGAGAAGAGTTGACTCGCGAAGAGGTGTCCAAATGTGGCAGAAAGTAAGTCTTGAGTTGAGTATTAAGTCGTTTGATCTCATCATCAAATCTCTCCATATGTCTGACGGCAAGAGTGAAGGCAACCACTCCTTCACCGCTGGCGGAGAAGCCATAGTTGGAGATGACATCCATCAGGACCTGAGTGGCCATCGGAAACACGAACCGCATGTGTCTGACGGCCGCCAACTGTGGCCCCAATCGGTGGCACTCAGTATGGGATGAGTCGGCGAGACGTCCGGCCGAAGACATCTTCGTCTGGTTTGTGGTCTCATTCATGGCTCGAATCACTTCATTGAGCACTAACTTCGCGTGCGATGGACTCATCTGCGGAACCGATTCCCCCGAAGACACCGAAGCCATCGTGTGATGCACTCAATCGATGGCCACAACACTCGCCAATCAATCCATAACTCAATTAACAAATGGTTTTATAAATCATTCAAAAATTGTTTTCTTCACAAAAAACACAAACATTTGTTTCATTCATAAAAAACGTTTTCATTTGTTATTTAAGTGTTTATTCAAACAAAAGATTACTTTTAATGAGGGGTTTAGGGTTGAGATGAGGGACTTATTGTGTTCATTATAATGCTAACTAAAATAAGGGGCAAATGTAACGCTATTTGTGTATAATATTATACAGTTTACACTGTTTTATATAAAGTAATTAATAATTAATTAAAAATTATATTTAGTATTTAAATATTTAGTTAAATACTTAAAGATTAAGATTTAAAATATACTCAAGAAGATTTATTTAGGTATTTAAAGGATAAGTGAATTAAGAAAATGTTGAATCCTTAATGAGATTGTAGTGAATAAGCAATAAATTAAACGTTTTATAATAAAAGCCCATTAGATATGGAAAAAGCATTGCATTTGTTGTCATAAAAAGTAATTTATTGTATAAATGGTTAATAAAAAGCAAAAGTTGTGTAAAAATAGCAAAAATAAACAAAATATAAATCGTTTTCTAATTTAAAAGTTTTGAAAACTAAATCCAATTGAAGTAAAAATCATTGCTTTAAATGTATTGATGTTTTGACTCAACACTTGAGATGAGTTCAGACAAACTGGAGATCAGATATGAGGGCAAAGAAGTGGTGGCTTTGGTTAAGTGGAAAGTAAGAGTCGGCCAACGGATCGGTCAAAGCGGTCAACAACTGTTCACTTATCGGTTGTTGGGATCAAATGATGAGCCAATCGGTGACAACATTGCCTACAAGTGTCGTAAAGTGGGACTCATTGTGGACTCGATGGTCAAAAAAGAGGGCGATTTAGTGGTTCCCAACGAAGTGGTCATTCAATACAAGGAATGTCTTCACAACACAGTCATGAAGGACTTGTGCGCCGACTGTGGCGCTAATATCAACGCCTTGGACGCGGATCAGCGCCGAAGAATAGCCGAACTGACGTCCGTATCGATGGTTCATTCGGTGCCCGAACTCCGGGTCAGTAAAGAGAGGGCCGAGACTTTGGGAAGAGCTGATGAACAGAGGCTCCTGAAGGACAGGAAACTGGTTTTGCTCGTCGACTTGGATCAGACGCTCATTCACTCGACCAATCATAACATCCCATCCGATGAGCCAGACGTGCATCACTTCCAACTGTACGGTCCGCACACGCAATGGTATCACACGAAGTTCAGACCAAATACACTGCCATTCTTGGAGTCCATGTCGAAGCTCTTTGAGCTCCATATCTGTACGTTCGGCGCCAGACGTTATGCCCATACGATCGCTAACCTAATGGATCCCAAAGAACTGTATTTCCCGAAAGACAGGATTCTTTCGCGCGACGAATGCTTTGATCCCAATCTGAAGACAGCGAACATGAAGTCATTGTTTCCGTGCGGAGACTCAATGGTCTGTATTATTGACGATCGCGAAGACGTGTGGAATTTTGCGCCCAATTTAGTGACCGTTAAGCCATACGTGTGTTTCCGCGACACCGGAGATATCAATGCACCGGAAAAGGCTGTCGGCCCTCAAGTCGACCAATCGGTCGATAAAACAGACGAATTGAAAGACTTGACGGAATCAACAGTTGTTGAAGTGTTGGACGAAAAGGAACAGCAAATCGATGCCAACAAACCAAGTGTTGAAACACCGGATGTAACGGAAAATAGTTTGCAAAACACAACACAAACAAAACCAGAAGAAGATGTGGAAACAACTCGTGAGACAACCGATGAGAATAGTGTCGAAAAAGTCGAGACCAAAGAAGAGGACTCTAAAAGCGAAGAGAAAGTTGAATCCAAGGACTCGTCAACTGATTCACCAAAGATTATTCAAATGGAAAGTGAATTAAATTCAAATTCTTCTTCGAATGAAATGATTGACGAAAATAAGGACAAAAAGGAGAATAAATTGGCGACAAAATCAGACTCGAGTGTAAAGCCGAGAGAATCCAACGAAGACACAGACGATTATCTGCTATATTTGGAGGAAATATTGACTCGAATTCATAGCGAATATTATAAAGAATACGACGAAAAGATGAAATATAAGTCCGAATCCGAAGAGATTAAGATTCCGAACCTCAAGGAAATCATACCTAATGTGCGGAAAAAGATATTGAATGGCATTAATATAGTGTTCAGTGGAGTGATGCCCACAAATATGCCGCCAGAAAAGCACAAACTCTATGCAATCGCCAAAAGTTTTGGCGCAACCATTAGTACAGATGTGGTGACCGATGGGTCGCCCAAAACGACTCATTTGATTGCCGCCAAATGGGGAACCGTTAAAGTGAACAAATGTGTTAAAGCGAAGAACGTATGGATTATTAAACCCAATTGGCTTTACTGTTGTGCTGAACGCTGGGAAAGGGTTGACGAACGCCTCTATCTGTTGGACAGAGAGATGGCGACCACCGATAGGGGAAAGACTTCTGCCAAACAAATACTCGACACTAAAATGGAAATGAAGCGATCGAGTAGTGGTCCAAAGCCCGAGTCGACAATTGCGACCACTTTTGCCACTTATGACCCAAAGACTGGCAAAAGAGTACGATCTCAAAGTCAAACACAGAATCCTTTTTTAGAGCAAAGCCCAGAAATGAGTGTTAAGTCGAGTGGAAGCGATCAGAACCAGCAGTTGTTAGAGCAGAGCCGGCAAATACAACCCCATAATATGCTCGACTTTTCACCGCTTTCTGGCTTTAGTATCAATGAATTGCAAAGTATGGGCAAAGAAGTAGACGACGCGTGCAGTGAAGGCGACGCCATGAGCACCGGTAACACTGATAGCGATTCCGATGTCGATATTGAAGACATTGAGAGCAATAACAACAATAAGAAGAAGAAATGCGACAAAAGAAAGGTTGAGTCGTCCAGTGATGACAGCGAAGACGGAGAGTATCCGAAGGGTTGGAATCAAAACAAGAAGAAGAAAACGATTGAAAGGAAACGAGTGGTGGAAATGGAAGAAACAAACGACTCGACCAGAGATTGGGATGATTTTGAAAGCAAACCTCTAAATGATTGCGAAGAGGAAGAGTCCACTGATAACCAATCTATTGGTTCTGTAGACGAAGAGATGGCTTTAGCCGTCGAGAGAGAGTTTCTCAGTTAGTCTTTCGATAATTGTATGTTTTTTCGAGTTATTTCGAGACTAATATGTATTAAAATTTCATTTTTATTATGCATTATATAAACCGTTCATTTATTTGTAAATCTAATCTCATTTGAATAGTATTTTAAAAATATCATTAAAATCTATTATATTGACCATTGAGTTCACTTATTGAGTGAGTGAGTGAGTGAGTGAATAAGCAATAAATTAAACGTTTTATAATAAAAGCCCATTAGATATGGAAAACGCATTGCATTTGTTGTCATAAAAAGTAATTTATTGTAAATAATTAAAACATTAATGATATAATCAATAAGAAATTGTGCAAAAAACCTAAAAATAATAATGTATTGCTATTACAGAGCAAAACCTGTAGCGATAGTAGTGTTGTATGTGTTGTCTATGTGTGCGAGGAGAGAGAGAGAGAGAGAGAGAGGCGATTCCAATTTGACTACTTATGATGAGAAGAGTTGATAATGCGTTCAAATATAGAAAATGGTAAATGTTATGATATAGTAATGACGGCTGATTAAGCCTAATACAAATAATGTAGTCATTTGCTATTGAATAACATTACTTCAAAAACTGATGAAATATAATGTTTTAATTAAATTGAAAAACAACTTTTAAGGATTAAAGTAATGGTATATTTGTTTTAAAATTAAAATAATTTAATAATTATAACAAACAATGTTTTCGACGATTGAGTGAAATAATTGACAAAATAATGACAAAATTGACATAAAAAATATTAAGATTAGGATTTACTTGAAGTGCGATCTGTTTGGGACATTCAATACAGAATTTGAATCACTATTCGTTGAGTTACTCATCGCTAGTCCAACACATCCGTCGCCCTTAAGAACGCCCACATTCTTCCAGTTCTCCAAATAATTGGCTTTCAATAGAAATGTCAAAAAAGAGATTAATTTCATTGACTAATGACTAAAAGAAATAATGACAACACCTTTCCAGAGACGGACAGTGCCGTCATCTCCAGACGAGGCCAGAATAGTTCCGGTGATATTCCACGAGACTCTCCACACTTGTGAGCCGTGGTCTTCAAAAGAGGCCACAATCCGGATATCGTATCGATTGGTGTCGTTGTGTTGAGTCAATTGTCCCATTTGTTGAGCCGCCGGTTCCTGAACTGTGGGTGCGATCGACAGTATCTTCACGTCTTTAGTGGTGGCGACTCCGAGCAGATCATAAGATCGGCCGACGTTTGGCGCGAATGCGATGTCATGAACGGAATCGTTGATGGCGTGTGTGATCTCCACTCTCTGCCACGTCCTGTGATTTTCGTTGTACTCATATATCAATACTTTGGAACCGCTGTTATTCGTGTCATCGCTGCCGACGGCTATCATCGGTGACCGAAGTCGAGTCAACGACGGATTCCATGTGAGAGAACTGCACGCTTTGTTGCACACAATCTCGTACTGAACGGACCACTGGCTAACATTCATCACATCCGGCGCTTCGTATATGCGAACGATTCCATCCGAAGAACACGTGGCCAACAGAAGGCCCGCGTGTTTGGGCGCAAACTTCACGTCCGTCACAGACGTACGGCTGTCCACAAAACTGTGGCGTTTAAACCAAACCGATTGATTCCGCTCTCCATTGTTGTTGTCCACGACTTGAAACACAAGCAATCAATGAGTTGTCATATAAGACACAAAAAGAGATCATTTACTCATTTCCTCCCAAACAATGGCAGTCCTATCGAAAGAACTCGTGGCCAGAATCTGTCCGAACTCCGGGTGAGCCCACGTCACCTTCCAAACGGATCCCGAGTGAGTCTTCCACGAAGCCGTGCAAACCCATTGGTTGTCTTCGCCGATATCCCAAACCTGATCCGAACCCAAACAAATCAAACACATTATCACAGCTGACAAAACGTGGCCATCGATTGATACATACTTTAACGCTCTGGTCTGAAGAACATGTGGCCAGACGTCGACCGTAATAGTCGTACGCGATGTCATGGATCAGATCTTTGTGGTCGGCGTGAATACTACGGGTATTCATGTCTTCAGATGGACTCAATTCAAGCCAAACGTCGACTCAATTATCAATTGTTTGCCGAGTTTTGAATGTTTTCACAACCAATCCATTCATACATTACGTTATGATCACTACATCTGCCCATCAATTGTATGGCAATTGTATTACAGTTAGAGATTTGCACTTCATTTCAATGCAATACCACTTTATAAGTTGTGTAACAATTAATTGATTATGCAATAACACCATGCTCATTACCAGCATATTCACATTTCTAACATTTGTAAGTATATTCAGCTTAATGAGAGAATATACAGTTGGCTTAACTCTCTTTAATTAATTGTGGCACATATTTAGAAACATTTTTAATCATAACTAAAAAAATTTAACTGTACAAATAATTTATACGTTTGAAATTAATCGTTAAAAATATTAAGAACTGCACAATTAAAACAAATTGAGAATAATTAATTAATTAATTAATGCGAAATAATGATAGCATGATTTGATGTTTGGCCAATTAATGGCCACAATAATTACCAAATTCTACAAAATTTGTAAAAATGTAGAAAGGTAGCTTCAAATATATTCATTCATATTTCTATTCTTCAGTGAACCACTAAATCATATAATTTTTAATAATTATAATTACATAAAAGTTATTAATTTAATTAACAGATTGTTTAATATATTTTTAAATTATACTATTATTACAAAATCACTGCCTTTCGTAATATAATGATTGCATTACGAAGTTGTTATAACTTTAGACTGAGTTCCGGTTTATGACGATTACAACATTGCAAAAGTTGTTTGTAAATTACAAGTTTGTAATAAAACAAATTTTGTTAATCATTTCTTTGTATGTGAGCCACAGATCACTTCCTCCTGTGTCTCAAACTAATCCTTTTATTATCTTTTGTCTGTATTTGAATATTATATGCATTTATGGTATCGAGAGATGATATAATCGTATATTTTATGAATAAAGCTCATCAGAATATTTACATTTATTCATAGGTTCAAATATTTTTTATAATATTTACTAAAATAGGGTAAAATATTTGCCTAAATATTGATTTATAAATCTTAAAATATATAGTAAAACTTTCAAATAATAAATTGAGATGCTGCATGAGCAGTTCTTAAGCACTATTTAGATTTTCATTATAATTTAACTGTTACAATATTTAAAATACATTTAAACAACGAGTAAATTATAATTAAATTATCAAATTTTGTACATTTCTATTGGTCGTTAAGATACCACTGACTACTACTAAAAATCACAATTCTAGCAATTTATTTAAATATTTAACATTTTTTATGACTCAAACATTGGTTTATATTTAAAATAAAACGTTATTAAAACGTCCTTATTATGTGATTACAGTTTACCACCAAAATCTTATACAATTATCTTTAACGGAGTAAACATAAAAAATATTTTGATGGGCTCTACTTATGAATATTAATAACATTGTATTTGCATTTCAAATAAAATTTCGAAAAATGATTGCAATCTTCGAAAAGGGGTTTTAGTGTTTATTTTTGGTCTAAATTTAGAAAACTTTACACAAAATAAATAAAATATTCAATAGATTTGGAAAGATTTGCATCAAATATATCAATAATGATATGTCAATAAAATAAAACAAATGGACAAAAAATACATCAACAAGAATATCGTAAGAAATATATTTATAACTCGTTTAAAACTAATATTAAATTAAATTTTAGTAATAATAGTCAGAGAAAAGTATGAAATTATTTATCGTTGAAAATATCTAAACATTTATTTGAGTGAAAGGAATGAATAAATTGATTGCATATAAACTGTATTAAGTCTTAAGACAATAAATGGCACTCAAAATACAGTCAATGAACGAAAAATCTTTATATATATAAATCATAATTAAAAACAAAAGTTATTTAAATTAAAAATAATTAATGAAATGATTGTATGAAAAATGAAAGCAATAAATGATTTTGTTTTGTGAAAGCATTTGGAATAACAGCTAATAAATCAAGAAATTGATTCCATGTCTTCATTATTGGGAATCGTTATGGCATTCATTATAGTATAGATGAGAAGAGAAATACAATTGTCTTATGGTTTCTATCATTTTTGTCAAAATAAATAGAAAGAAATGATACAAAAGTTATCTCATATTCATATCAATCTATTATAATAATAATAATTAATAATAAAATCAATTTTTTGACATAATATTCAAAGTTATCCAAAAATGTGAGTCAAATATAGCAAATGATCGGCAAATGGAAGTGACAATGAGTTCTTCGGGAGAGAGGATATCGTGTTTCAATGGGAGTCACTCTCGTCGTCGGCGTCGATGTGTGACGACATTTGATGTTTGTTATCATTGGGCACCTCATGGTTGCCATTAGTGGTCTCGAAGAGCGCCAAATCCATGTCTGGCAGCTGTCCGTTGTGTGCAGTGCCCGCGTGGGCCAGGAATAGGTCTTTCAGAAAATTCAACTCTTTGGTCAATATCTTGATCTTCGTCTCAAGCATTTCGTTCTCTTGTTTCAATTGATTCACTCTTTCCAGCGTCTGTTGTGTCCGAACCTTAGACTTATTCCTCGACTTCTTAACGGCCATATTATTGCGTTCGCGTCTCTTCTTGTATTCATCGCTGTCTTTGTCGAGAACCACTCGATTCACTCTCGCGTATTGCTTACTATCCGATCCCATATTGGACTCCGACTCCGACATCGAAGACTCATCGGACAATTCTTCGGCCTTCAAGTCCTCGTCGACGAGCTTCGACTTCTTCGGCAGTTTAGTGATCGGCGCCATCGGATGGACTGACTCTCGGATAATGATATCAGTGTTTACTTCTTATGGGTTTGTGTCGGACGTGAAGGTAGAGAGACGTCAAGTGATGTCAACACCAGTTATATAAGAGTTATATAAAGTGATGGCAATTGTTATGCAATACCCAAACAGTGACGCAATATATGCTATGATTTGCCACCAAATCAGTCAATACAAGACACCCGTCAATGGATCCGCTGTTTAAACCACTAAATTACTGTTAAATCAATGATACCATTAATAAGAGTGTAAATTGGGTTCAATTCAAGTGATTAATTGGCAAATAATGGGACAATGGGTGGAGTGTATTGAGTGGTGTGTTGTCTGCCATCAAATGGATCCCAAAAAATGACAAACAAAACGCCAAACAGAGCTCACAATCGTCTCAAACAACACAACTAAACACTAATCAAAAGCAAACCAATGGTTTAAATGCGAGTATTGTTTGAAACGTTTGTTAAAAGCGATTAATAATTGAATTTAATGTTAGGATTACATACAAAATGAGTGACGAAATCAATTGAATAATACATACATTTCAATGCAATCTCTCGTTGTGTGCGAATTGGCGTTCAGTTTGTGTGCAAATGTATGTATCGTTCATTCAATGCATTCAAACACACTCTTTGTGTCACTACTATTGAGCAATACCTCAACACATGCCGACCCACAGCCTCTCCACCCGGGGGTGTGCGGGGGGTCCACACACTCACACCCCCTACACCTCTCACACCCCCACCCCATACCACACATACCTGTGCCCATCACTCCTCTAAATTTTTGCTCAATTAGCCGATGATTTAATTGTTTGGTTAACTAATAGTGATTATAATGACTACAACGGGGGAGTGAAGCACATGTACGACAGGCCTCGGTCTGTGCCGTTGAGCGGCTAATACTGGTTGCAGTGTTTGGTGTGTTTCGTCATACAATATGTACATAAAGTTTGTTTTGCAGTAATTGTGCGCACATTTCGTATACATTTGCCATACATTTGCTGCAAACCCTGTTTTGAATGCATTTCCCAATGCATTGAATGCGCCAATAGTTGGAAGACTCGCTATTCCTCTCACCCACAGAATTATTGCCTTCACTTCTCATGTCATTAAACCTTTGATTTAAATTTAGTTCACAATTACTGTTAATCGTAAGAATATTAAAAACATAATTCTTTAAATGAATTTTACTCTATAATAAAAATATTGCTTAAAAT